CGGCTATTATCACAATATAAACAATAACATAAGCATCGATGATGGAGGAGGAACCTGTTCTGGAACAACCTTAGGAGGAACCTGTTCTGGAAGTGAATCAGGAAGTGATTAAGACCGTCGCCCGAAAAAAGAATCCCCCAAAAGTAGCTGCCGGTCGCAAAGGTTGGTTGGCTAAAAAAATACATAGTCCTGAAAACATATTAAAATATAAATATTGCAATACATATAACAAAAATGGCCGAGATCCTGATGATGCTCGGTGGGGCAATCATCAACGCCCTAGCATTTTTGGGGAGCAATTATCTCTTCTCCCAATTATGAATGTTGAATGCGGCATTAAACGCAGCCAAAATCGAAGCGGAAATGGCACGCGCAAACCGAGTACGCCAAAAAACGCATACTCAATGAAACGCTGATCATAATCAAAATATCAGACCAACTCTGTGATTTGTTTGCAGAATTTATGTCCTAAATTTAAAAAAGTTGTTTAACAAACTATCATTAAAATATTGACACAGTTCACTATTTGTTACGAGGGAGGAGTGCAGAGAAAGGGACAGCCGGGTGTGCGAGAAAGGATGGAGACGGCACAGCACAGGTTAATGAAGCAATAACTTTGTCGGCACTTATGCACGTGCTTCTCTAACACCTGGCTGTCCCTTTAGCCCAGTTTCTCCCACACATTAAGGGCGTGGTCGCAATCTTTCTTATACCATTGGCATGAATCAGATTTTCTACATAAATTACGGCCTTTACTAACATTTCTTCGGCCAAATACCTGCGTAGCAGCTTGTAAAAAGACCTGACCGAGCTTGTCAGTGACATCTAGAACGATACACGAAGGGTCACGGCTTCACGGGCTCTCGGTATGAGGTATCGATGCAATTTACAAAGCCACGTGACTTAACTGGATCAAATCTCTTTGGCTAATCTGACAGTACATTTTCGACATTTTCTATATAATCATCAACAATTTTTACAATGGCATTTCCAAACATGATGCACAAAGGTTTATGAACGTCACTGTAGCAAACTGAGTAATCAATCACCTGAAAATCTTTAATTACAATTGATGAATCATGTGATGCCAGCACATAGTCTACAACACTCCTGTCTCAGCATGTAAGTTCACAACGCCACTGTCCTTGCCCACACGGCCATTTACAACAAACATGGAGGATGATTTACACAAATCTAATAACATGTTCCAAAATGTATTTGGGGGTAACGTGTCCTTCGAAGACCTGGTCTCTTTGAAAAACATACTAATGTTCATATCGTTGAAATATGATCTAGTGTTTATATACTCCATGTCTTGGTCGGTGAATCCAGAATGTCGGCCGAGAGCGTGGTTTATTTCACACAGATCAGTTACTGTCCATATACGGGCATTAAAATCACATTGAATTTGTACAACAATGCTGTAACGACGGTGATGCTCGCCGCCGCTATGGCGTAGAGGGTTTATGCCCGACTATGTATTTTTTAGACAACCAACCTTTGCGACCGGCGGCTACTTTTGGAAGATTCTTTTTTTGGGTGACGGTCTTAATCACTTCCTGATTCACTTCCAGAACAGGTTCCTCCTCCATCGTCGATGCTTATATTATTGTTTATATTGTGATAATAGCCGCGGTCAGAGGAGCCAGCAGCATACCGTACCGGTGGAACATGTCGCAGCTGACGGAGCTCAACGCGTGGTCAATGAACGGATCTTTCTCGAAGTCCCTGCACATGTACAGACGACGTTACGGTGGAATGGGCAGGAAGTACGACGCGATGCCGACTTAGATTTGCGTCATGGCCGATCCTATGGTTTTGTCATTTCGGCGCCGAGTCTGGCTTCGTATCTCTCGGACAGCTTGTCCATTTCTTCGACGGTCATTTTTTTAATTTGGCAGGGAGCGAGGGAAGATTCGACATTTCGACGCCCAATAGCGTCCATCAAGCCGACCTCCTGTTTCTCCCGCACGACAGGGTGAGACGCAAAACGTACAAGTACTCTCTGACCGTCGTGGATGTCGCCAATCGCTACAAGGAAGCCGAGCCCTTGACGACCAAAGATTCGAACTAAGTGGTCAAGGCGCTGGAACGCATCTACCGTGGAACCACCTCTTAGCCGATGGTTTGTTCGGGCACCAGTACGCCCAAGAAATAGTGACGCCCGAAAAACGATCGACAGAATGGGTCTCACGTTTACCATCAACAATGAAGTCCGACATCCAGTCTTGGTCCACTTTTAACCATTCGGGGGCCAGCGGATAACTGTTGTGGGCAGCGCGGAGTTCCGCGGGATAGTCCAAGTCCACTTCGAATACGTAGCCAATCTCGAAGTTTTCGGGGATGGTCATAATGTTCTTCGGGTTAAAATGGGTGTTATCCAGCCACTCAAACCCCCCGGTGGACAGATGCTGGCTCATCGCCAAGCCGTACAGGTTGTTCGCGTCGAGATAGAGGAGATGATTGGCGGGTTTACTCGAATCATAGCCTTTGACATATTTGTTGTTGGCTTTGGCGTAGCACTTGGAGACCATCGTGACCACGCCACACATCCCTTTCTCGATAAACCTATGCATGTCGTAATCCGTTAACAATTCCAATTTGACTCCGGTTTTCTCTACTTATACCTTTGAACGAATTTCCATAATCGGAAATATAATGCTGCTATTAAATCTTGAGGAGAACAAAGCCTGGAAGCAATATTTTGGTTGTTAGCTAAAGCAAGAAATCTACAATGTCTTTTTAAAGCATTCGACCATATGGTTGTACCAATATTGTTTATTAAGAAGGTGCTTCATCTATGTAAAAGTACCCCGTCTTATATGTTATACGGCGTGACAGGACGCCCGCCTTCAAGTATTATTGTCAAACAATGAGTATTATCCTATTGGTGTAAAATTTTAGGTAATGAAAACCAAAATAAACTTACACTTAAAGTGTACACTAAATTATTAACAGTTGACAATTGTACTGAATACCAGCCAGCCTGGCTACATTGTGTTAAATCTGTTTTAGACGATTGTGGTTAATCATATATCTGGTATAATCAGAATTGTGTTAATAGGAACTGGCTCCTCTGTAAAGTTGAACAAATTCTAACAGATCAGTTTATAACACAATGGCAATATGAAAAATATTTATCGTATAAAGGTAAAAGATATGACTGTATAAAACCATTTTTTGGTGCTAAAGACTACATTTTATTACCAGATAGAATTTTACAACCGCTTTTGAATACCAGGCTACCTGTCGAAGTAGGACGCTGGCATCACGTGCCATTTAAGGATCAAAAGTGTCTGATGTGTAACTCGGGTGAAGTGGGTGAAGAGTACCACTATATTATTTAGTCTAATTCTTTGTTAGCAGATAGAAATAAGTTATTACCAAAGTATTGTTGTACAAGACCCAATTACTTTAAACTGCATAGTCTTTTTATGGAAGGAAATTACACACGTGTTGATAACTTAAGCAAATACATTACATGTATTTATGTAACCCTTTCAAAACTTCAATGATATTACTTTATGTATCACTGCATATCTGTACTATGTACATTACATGTACTTATGTCAACCTATCAAAACCTCAACGATATTGCCTCGTATCAATATCAATATTACATTATGAATCACTGCATATCTGTACTATGTACATTACATGTACTTATGTCAACCTATCAAAACCTCAACGATATTGCCTCATATCTATCAATATTACATTATGAATCCTCAATCGATATTGTACTTATGTCAACCTCGTATCAATATCAATATTACATTATGAATCACTGCATATCTGTACTATGTACATTACATGTACTTATGTCAACCTATCAAAACCTCAACGATATTGCCTCGTATCAATATCAATATTACATTATGAATCACTGCATATCTGTGCTATGTACATTACATGTACTTATGTCAACCTATCAAAACCTCAACGATATTGCCTCGTATCAATATCAATATTACATGATGAATCACTGCATATCTGTACTATGTACATTACATGTACTTATGTCAACCTATCAAAACCTCAACGATATTGCCTCGTATCAATATCAATATTACATGATGAATCACTGCATATCTGTGCTATGTACATTACATGTACTTATGTCAACCTATCAAAACCTCAACGATATTGCCTCGTATCAATATCAATATTACATGATGAATCACTGCATATCTGTGCTATGTACATTACATGTACTTATGTCAACCTATCAAAACCTCAACGATATTGCCTCGTATCAATATCAATATTACATTATGAATCACTGCATATCTGTACTATGTACATTACCTGTCCTTATGTCAACCTATCAAAACCTCAACGATATTGCCTCGTATCAATATCAATATTACATTATGAATCACTGCATATCTGTGCTATGTACATTACATGTACTTATGTCAACCTATCAAAACCTCAACGATATTGCCTCGTATCAATATCAATATTACATTATGTATCACTGCATATCTGTGCTATGTACCACTGTGAGTGGTTTTAGTGAATAAATGAACTGGACTGAAGATTTGTAATGATAATGTAGTTGAAGATGTTATACACTTTTTGTTTGTCTGCCCAATGTATAATTTGATAATGAGTACATATATACCATCTTGATTTTCCGATAACCCTACTTCTTATTCTTATAAGTTACTAGTATGCAGTAAAGATCATGAAATTATTCTAAATGTAGCAAAATATGTTAAATACTGTTTGTCTCTCCGCAAAGTACAATCATTGTCACTTTCACTATATCATATATTAATGTTCAAAGATGTACATGGGCCGTTGGCCTAAAAACGAATATACATTTAACTAGAACAGTTAATGGCCTTACTTTTCTTATTACACTTTTGAGGGGTTAGAGCAAGCTTTGTGTATATTCGACGTATAAGTATAGTGTCAGGTACACGACACTCGGCAGTTTGACTTAGTGGAGACAACATCCGTGATCTGTACCACAAATAACACTTGTACTTCAGTGACAGCGAGAGTGATGACGGTGAAGATGTCAGGATGGAGAATAAGAAGAGGGAGGACTACATTGAGTGGGAGACGTACTTCATGGCCATAGCACTGGTCTGTGCAAAGAGAAGCAAAGACCCCAAAACACAGGTGAACAATGTTGAGAAGACAGAGACAGAGTGTAGGAGAGAGAGATGGAGAGTGGAGGAGACAGCTGCACTTATAAAAGAGCCAAATGTTTTAGTATATACATTTTTCACATCGATGTATCCATCCACGCATGCACCCATCTACCTACCGACCGACCGACCGACAGACAGACAGACAGACAGACATATTGTGCAAAATTTAACCAGCAAGTTTTCAAAGACATTATTATTAGTCACCACAGCTGTAGTTCCTGTTACAGGTTGGAGCGTGTATTGTGAACAAAGATAAACGGCTCGTTGGCACTGGTTACAACGGAATGCCCGATCGCTGCAGTGACGACATGTTACCGTGGGGCAAGGGAGAAGGTTTACACCGGGATAAACATCTTTATGGTATGATATAAACATAAGCAGCAAAATAAACATCTTTATGGTATGATATTAACATTAACAGCAGAATAAACAGTTTTATGGTTTGATATAAACATAAGCAGCGAAATAAAAATATTTATGGTATGATATTAGCATAAACATCAGAATAAACACTTTTATGGTATGATATTAACATAAACAGCGGAATAAACATCTTTATGGTATGATATCAACATTAACAGAAGAATGAACTTCTTTATGGTATGATATTAACATTGACAGCAGAATAAACAGTTTTATGGTTTGATATAAACATAAGCAGCGAAATAAAAATCTGTATGGTATGATATTAGCATAAACAGCAGAATAAACAGTTTTATGGTATGATATTAACATAAACAGCGGAATAAACATCTTTATGGTATGATATTAACATAAGGAGCGGAATAAACATCTTTATGGTATGATATTAACATTAACAGCGGAATAAACATCTTTAATGGTATGATATTAACATAAACATTAACATTAACAGCAGAATAAACATCTTTATGGTATGCGGGTAATAATAAACATCTTTATGGCTTGATATTTACATTAACAGCGGAATAAACATTTTTAAGGTATGATATTAACATAATGAGCGGAATAAACATCTTTTATGGTATGATATTAGAATACACATTAATGATATTAACATTAACAGCGAATAAACATCTTTATGGTATGATATTAACATTAACAGCAGAATAAACTTCTTTATGGGAAGATATTAGCATTAACACCCGAATAAACATTTTTATGGTATGATATTAATATTGACAGCAGAATTAACATTTTTATGGTATGATATTAACATAAACATCTGAATAAACATCTTTATGGTATGACATTAACATTACCAGCTGAATAATCATTTTCATTGTAAGATATTAGCATTAACAGCAGAATAAAAAATTTCATGGTATGATATTAGCATAAACAGCGGAATAAACATCTTTATGACATGATATTAAGATTATCAGATGAATAATCATTTTTATGGTAAGATATTAGCATAAACAGCAGAATAAACATCTTTTATGGTATGATATTAACATAAACAGCGGAATAAACATCTTTATGGTATGATATCAACATTAACAGAAGAATAAACATCTTTATGGTATGATATTAACATAAGGAGCGGAATAAACATCTTTATGGTATGATATTAACATTAATTGCGGAATAAACATTTTTATGGTATGGTATGAATAAACATTATGGTATGATAAACATATGCAGCGGAATAAACATCTTTATGGCATGATATTAACATTAATTGCGAAATATACATATGGTAATCTATTAACTTATGGTATGATATTAACATAACATCAATAAACATCTTTATGGCATGGTATTATAAACATCTTTATGGTATGATATTAACATTAACAGCGGAATAAACATCTTTATGGTAAGATATTTACATAAACATCTGAATAAACATCTTTATGGTATGATATTAACATTAACAGCGGAATAAACATCTTTATGGTATGATATTAACATTAACATCAGAATAAACATCTTTATGGTATGATATTAACATAAACATCTAAACATCTTTATGGTATGATATTAACATTAACAGCGGAATAAACATCTTTATGGTATGATATTAACATAAACAGCTGAATAAACATCTTTATGGTATGATATTAACATTAACAGCAGCATAATAAATAAACATCTTAAACATGGTATGATATTAACATAAACAGCAGAATAAACATCTTTATGGTATGATATTAACATTAACAGCGGAATAAACATCATCTTTATGGTATGATATTAACATAAATGGCATTAACATTAATTGCGGAATAAACATCTTTATGGTATGATATTAAAACATCTGAATAAACATGGCGGATTAACATAAACATCTAAACATCTTTATGATATGATATTAACATTAACATCGGAATAAAACATCTTAATGGTATGATATTAACATAAACATCTTTATGAATATTAACATAAACATCTTTATGGTATGATATTAACATTAACAGCGGAATAAACATCTTTATGGTATGATATTAACATAAACAGCGGAAATAAACATCTTTATGATATGGCAACATTAACAGAATATTTACATAAACAGCTATGAATATATTAACATCTTAAACATCTTTATGGTATGGAATATATTATGGCACATTTAATAAACAGCTGAATAAACATCTTTATTCTTATTAGCATAAACAAGTGTGTTACGATTCTGATTAACCTGTGCTCTGATTGAAGCATTAAGTTTAACATTATATAGTCTTATATTACAAAGGTTGCCACAACCTGTAATATAGGGGCATCTCAGAGGGGAATCTCTGGAAAATATCAATCAAAACTTTTCTCATATACTTCATGACAAGGATATATTTACCAATTGAGTCTACATGAACGTAGCGAGTGACAATATTTTGTGGCAACAGTTTTACTCGCTCTGGATCACTCAAACCATGGAATAAAATCATAAGCAGTGAGCCACACTATCAGGGCGTATGGCGAGCCGCTTTCACATTTATTAACAAATACTGATTTCTTAAATCGTTGTCAAGATATCTTGAATGAAAATAGAGACATCTTAAATATAATTGAAGATATCTTGAAATGAATCTCAAATAGAGACATTTATCGAGACAATAAAAGTCATAACATCGCTAAATGGATTAAATTAATATCTTGAAAAGAATTGTTGATATCTTAAATTTAATTAATGATATCAGAGTAGGATTTAGAGGATAGGTACAGATTCAGTTCCGGATAACAGTAATTTCTTAATACATGTGACAACGGGCTGAAATACTGCCGTGTTGACAATCACATGTCACCTGATCTCATAACATGGAGGTAGTGATGAGATACCGGATTAAGTGGATTCCTGTAACAGGTAACACTTCTTTTCATGTCCTACGTCCAGTCTGCCATGCTGAGATGAACGCCATACTGAACAGGTTCTCTGCTGACTTGAAAGGCTGCACGATTTACGTGACCTTGTTCCCCTGCAACAACTGCACCCAGATGATCATCCAGTCAGGAATCCGAGAAGTGGTCTTTTTGTCAGATGAGAAAAAGAACAAGGTCGAAGTGAAAGCTTCAAAGAAACTTCTCAAAATGGCTAAAGTAGACTACAGGTGAGTGGCTCGCTCCTTGTTCTTCCAAACATGTATTCTGTGGAGGCGAATACAATCGCTCTTGCGTAAAGAAACGCAATCCTGACAGACGAAAGGTCGCGTATGAATCTTTGAATATCATGACAGCAATCAGCTTCCACCTTTCATGAATACATTTGTGTTTCAGACCATATTGTGGAAGCTTGGACACAATCGCGATAAAGTTTCACGCAGATGCGGACGTCGATCAGTTGGCCTCCAGGAGTTGAAAAAAAAGAGAAGAGTTGAAGGATCAGGATGTATTTTCTTGTAGTCACATAATGCCATCAAACGGGGGAATATTACTCATAACTAGTGATTTCCAGAAATTAAGTCGTATTTAAGAATATAATTTGCTGTTCAAATTCATAATAAACGTGGACTTGCATGTGAACCTCTATCTTAATCATCTTTTTCATAATTACCAGTTCATCGTTTAAATGAACTGCTTGCGGTAGGCTCTAACCTGCTGTCGTATAAGGCACGGGGTGGGAGTGAATAAATAATTTGGGTTTAATGCCACTTTCAACACAATATCGTATATACCACGGTCACGGGGAGATGCAGTTACATTTCTTTACTTACATTATCAAGGCAAGACCTGACATGTTTGTAAAATTGAGATATCACGTATGGTAACCGTAATAATCAAATGCAAAGACTGTTCAATTGTTCAAATGCAAAATCAATGGAGATAGCTACCATATACGGCCATTATGTCAGAGCACAAGAGGACTTATGGCATTCATGCTTCCTGCATGATTCCCAGTAGGAATATTTCACTATTGTACAGAACGGATCTGTGTCATATCGCGCAGAGAACAAGATATTTATGATTATTAAAAGGACTGCAAAACAATAACATCATTTGGTGTCAACTTCACACTAATTTAATATGTCGATGCAAAATAATACCAAGTCTTTCTTATCCTCGGAGACAAATGCTTTTGGTTTAAAGGCAAAATAACTGTGAATATAACGCATGGACCACTGAAGGGTGACTGATAACACCAGGTGTTAGCGGAAAGGTGACTCAATTCCTGACCCACTGGTAAAGCTGCAGCTGGAACTTGCGGGATGCTACTCGACATGGAGGGAACTACTTCTGGAAAATTGTTGTTATCCGACTTAGTCCTCAGGATAGTTTATAGTCAAGACAACGCTCGATATTGACTTGAGATAAACAATTCACCTGTTCAGACATGTACTAATACAATTTGTATATCAGAGAGTGATCTTTTTATACACTTGACAATTGTTTTGAAAAAACCCCTTCGCATACAACTATTTTACCAATTGTGCATAATGTGTTTTAGAAAGTTCATCCTTTTCAGGTTCTGCTGAAATCATCCCACTCGTCAAACAGTCACGTGGAGAGGCCTGTACAACCCCAATATGTAAAATCATCTTTTACATATTGCGTATATATTTACGTTTTGCGTTAAGTTGTTACATATTGCGTTAGTTTTTACATATTGTCTTGATTTTACTTATTGGGGTTGTACAAGGCTTCTGTGTCACTCTGAATCTTTAATGCATTGATCTAAATATGAAACAGGTACAGCCGGTTGTATTGTGAAACGGCCATGTAGCGGTAATATTGCTGAGTGCGGTGTAAACCTAATGTCACTCACTCACTCTGTTGTCAGCACACTTGCTGTTTATTCCCAATTACTACTATGACCCTTTTCTTGTAACATCAATATAAATCTCATGTTTTATTGTGTGTCAGCAGGAATGCCTTCACCATTTCTGAGAACTGTAAGAAACAGAGGCCTAGTTTCATTCTACTTTAGCATACATTTCTTAGAAAGACTGGGGCTGTATCTTACTGCCAACAATAAACATGATCTAACGTGCCCTAGGTTTTTTTTAGTTTTCCTTTCAGTTCTTGGAAAAGCGAGATCAATATCTCATCAACCGCAACGACTGGTCATACACGAGTTGCACAAAAGTTCTCTCGAGGCATTTTTCATGCACAAGAAATGACCTGGTCATAAGCAGAGAGTATTCTCGACATGCAACCACTTGTTAGCAAAATATTAGTTGTGTAGGATGCTACTCCACGTGGAGAGAACTACTTCTGGAAAAATGTTGGGATCCCTCTTTGTCCTCAGGATATTTTATAGTCTCTCTGAATCTTGATGCATTTTCACCAAGACAACGCACAATATCGACTTGAGATTCACCAGTACAGACAGGTTGATGTCCCCACTGTGTTCCTCCCTTCCTTGTCCACTGGTCGACATGAAACCGTATTCAATAGTATAACGTCATGTGTTAGGGTCAAGTCAAGAGAATACAATTTCCTGAAGATCTTGGAGTTGATCAATACATCGATTTGAAATAAAATATTCAGTGGGAACTACTTTCGATCTTCATTTTTCTTTGATCGTTGTAACAAATGACTTTAAGAGAAAACCTTTTGAATTTGGTATTGCTGATTTAGTTTGCATGTTTATTCATATTGTGGCCTGATTGACATGCCACTTATCACTTGTAATGAGATAAACATGATGTTTGTTCCAAACGAGATTTGAGCACTTGCTAAACATTTGCCATGAAACCGATTAGTAATCCAGATTCATAATTCGTTCTGCCATCTCGTGATGACCACAGTCTTACACTAACATTTTGTTTAGAATGATCTAAACTTTCACAACCTTGACGTGTTTGTTTTATGATAATAATAGTGTATGTTTAAAGTGGTTAAAATTCTATATGAACCTTAGTTCATATTACTTATATCTTCATAGCGTAAACGAATCCATTAGAATTTACTAATAACCCATATTTTATCACTTGCATAATACCTAGTGTTGACTATCATCAGAATCAAATTCCATTTGGTGTAAAGGACAACAACTGCTGTGAAAATGAATGAATTGGTTTACGTTTCGAAGGTTTTTGTAAACTGTGAGTAAATGTGTAAGTAAAATTAAACTTGTGAACGGATAACTGTAACATGACAAATTGTATAAAGGATAGATCTGCTTTAAAATAATTTCTACTGGAAACAATGTTCGGAAATGTGTCTTTTCAATCAGTTTTGGGATTTTTATTTCCCAAAATGTGTTTATTGGTTCCCAAGATGACAATGTTATACATATACAAAAACGAGATACATACAGATAAATGATGTACCGATATTATATCAATACTATATTAATAAACATATATACATGTAAATCAATAAAAGAGAAAGATGATATGAGGTATATATGGATACATTTGAAAGTCATCCAAGTACTGGGAAGAGAAGGCCTCATTTGTGATAGTCATTTTAATTTTTATTATTATTTATTTATATTATTTTCCACAAAGAATATTTAAACCTTGGATAGTCTTGGATAGTTTTGAGTTGTCTTGGATAGAGGTGTTTACTAGATCACCAGGTAGGTTTGCTGAACATTTATGGATAGACAAGTATTAAAACGTTTAAATATCTCAACATTATCACAACTGTAGAAGTCAAGAAGCGCCAACAACAGCAGTATCGACTAAGATGTATATCAATGCTCAAGGTTGATTATAATCAAATTTGATGCGAAAGAGAAAGCCGAACGTGAAGATAATTATTTCAACTACCGACAAACTGCGTTATAGGGGCTTTACATTTTCTTGTTCTAATCCCAGGGATTAGGGAAAAGGTCTCCAGAATGAGTACAAAGATTCACTCCTTTCGTGCCCTTTTTCGGGGCTGAGGCTCTGCTTCAATGGACTCGAAATCCACCTCAACTTTCATGCGTTTCCTCCGGTCGTACTGTCTGATGAAACAAGCACGATTATTGTAAGTACAGCCAATCAATATATCAATGTATGGTTTAAGTTTTACGAAAGTCGTTCTTTATGGAAACAAAAACAATCATGTACATGTCATCACAAGACGATGTGGATTTCAAATGAAACCCAATTGTGTTAACTAAGACCTTAGATTTTATCTTTGTAGGCTCTTTCATGAAATGGAACGTGACACTCCGTTAAATCTCAAGATTGTATGTTACAGAGGTATTATGTATAGAATGTATCTACCGATGACTGACATATACCGAGCTGTGGAAATAGGGTTCGAGACTCACATTTCCAGTTGGTAGAAAATTACTTAATGAAAATTATACCATCAAACTTTTTACAGTCTAATCCATGCAGATATAAACGATTAATATATACTTGCTTCAATACCAGAAGCAGTATCGAGAGTAAATAAGCATGTGGGAACCATTTAGGTTAGGACAATTACAAACCTAGTTTTGACACGAGCCTCTTCAAACAATATCTTCGCGGCTTCTACTTCCTCCTTGTCATTTTTCTTGTCGGAGTAGTAGACAACTTCCTTGATGCCGGACTGGATGATGATCTTGGCACACTCGTTGCACGGAAACAGGGAAACGTAGATAGTGCAGCCGTCCAAGTCTGCTGAGAACCTGTTTATGACTCCATTCATCTCCGCATGGCAGACTAGCAGAAAGACAAGGGGACCACAAATACAGCTTGGAAGTTCACTTTCGAAATTTCCACTTTAGTATACACAATAAATAAGTATTTGCTACGGGAAAACCTAATCAATAAAAGAAAAAGGAAAAACAACACACACCCATCCCCACCAAACACGCGGACGTCGTCCAGTCTGGGCTGCTAAACTGAGTGACTGACTGTCTGCGGCACTGACGTTTGAACTGCCCTTGCTATGCAATTAAAAGGAGAACAGTTTCCGGTCAAATTTCTGTGTGTTTGAGAACATTATGATCACAAAGATAATTATAAATTCAGTTACGTTTAAATGCAACAATTAACAATTACCGTAATAATCTTTAGCTCCAAGCTTGCTGTCGTCCCTCTTGTCCTTACCCCAAGGTAACAATCGATTGCTACAGTTGTTGGGCATCCCATTGTAACCTGTCCCGACGATCCTTTTCTTAGGATTGACAAAACAGGCTCCGACCTACAAACAACCCATGATTACTACATAATCCTCGTATGCATGATGTTATTTCTCCTTACAACTGTTAGGGACACTGCGGGGCAGAGAAGCTCCCCAGCATGTCATAGGATTGGGGTACTGTGACCTGACTCATCCTACATTAGCGGCGAGTGGTTGATTATAAGTTGTATGCTTCTCTCGAGGGTAATACGGTCTGATGTACACCTCTTTGTAGGCGAGGGGTGACACTGCTACAAAAATGCGTACACTGCGTGCACTGCATGCGTCATATTATGGCGACATAAGATTGTTAGCGATACAGCTTTTCGGCGAAGCGTTTGGCGGTTACCATGGCAGCGGGTGATATTTTTTCCAGTTGTCAACCTCCAGGGAGGGGAGACACGGAAACTTGTTAAAGTGTCCTTGACCAATGAAATTAACGTATTTTACATGAAGGTAAGATAATATAAGTTGCATGCTTCTCTCGAGGGTAATACGGTCTATTGTACGGATCTTTGTAGCAGTGTTACCCTAGCGGGTAGGCGAGAGATGACACTGCTGCATAGATGCGTACATACACAGTACAACCAGAAATTATTGAGAATTTAAAGATTGTAAATGTTTATTTTTTTCACTCATTACTCACGTATTAAATGTGAATATTAGCAGAACATAACTCCAGATTCAAAGACAGGTGAACAGTTAGTATTTTGTCAAGTCACCATGGGCAGCAATGCAGACTTCAAAGTGGCGGGGCATACTACTGATCAAAGATGTTAGAAAGTCGTGGTCCATGCTGTCCCAATATCGGACCACCTCTTCTTTCATTTCAGCAATATTTGTCAGATTTTTCTTATTGACACTTTCCTTCATAAGTCCCCAAACATTTTCTATTGGATTTAGGTCAGGGATACATCTTGGCCAATCTAATAATGTCATATTTTGGATCCGAAACCAGGCCTGTGGATGCTTTGAACGATGTTTTGGGTCGTTGTAATGCTGGAAAATCCCAAAATTTCCATAGAACACGTGAGCAGATGGAAGTAAATGTCCCTCGAAAATATCTGTGTACCGCTCACTGTTCATATTCCCTTCAAATACCTAGAGGGGCGTTGCACAGATATGCCACCGCACACGTTAAATTTCAGACTGTACTTTGGGCGCTGATACTGATATTTTTCAGTTTGTTTGGTCCAGAATTTCAGTGTATTAGGAAACAGCCACACAGAACTTTCATCTGAGAAAATCACATTGTCCCAGTTAAAATTTCTATGCTGTAAGCACCATTTCAACTTCGCTCCTTTTGTTCAGGTTTCATGATCGGTGATGGAATTCCTCGACTTTTCTGCCAACCCATTGGATGCAGCTTAGTTCTTATTGTCTCCTTACAGACAGCCACAGTTCCTCTATCAATCATATCCAGCCTTAAGTTTTCTAAACTCCTTCGTTTGTTTTTAGAAACAAGATTACCAAGCCGCTTCCTGTCACCGACAGTCAATTTTATGGGCCTACCTGCGCCTCCCTGGTGCTCGATGCCATATCCATTTGCAATATTTTTCAAAACACGATAAACAGTGGACAAAGGGATGCCTGTTCTACTTGAAATCACTTTAGCTGATCTGATGTCCTTGTTATAATACTCTAAAATCAACTTCCTCTTCTCTAAATCATCCATACTGAGGATCACTGAAAATGTCGTCTGCTAGCAAGTAAACAAAGTGGGATAACTCTTCACAAACTAATGAAAAAGGATTAACGGAGTTGTCTCTCTTGAATGAAACCAATCACTTGATAGCTGGATAAGGTTGTTTATACTAGAAATCAAATTAAACATATTCCTAAAATTCTCAATAATTTCTGGTCATACTATATAGTGGGACATATTCTGACAAGCTTAAAACTGCTATAAAAAGTGGTGAATTGTGTTTAAGTTGAGTGTGCAAACGATTCAATGTATAACATAGTTTAACCATAGGATTGAAAGTCGGTAAAATAAATGGGTACATAGTGAACTCAAAAACAGCTAATCGAACGGTCTTCGAACTCCGGACACTGCATGCGTCATATTATGACGTCATATGATTGTTAGCGAAACAAGCTTCTCGGCGGAGCGTTTGGCGGTTACCGTGGCAGCGGGTAATATTTTTCCAGTTGTCAACCTCCAAGGAGAGGTGACACGGAAACTTGTTAAAGCGTCATTGACCAATGAAATTAAAGGATTTTACATGAAGGTAAGATAAAATACTTCTGGTGAGTATATGCTGTATGTGAGCAGAACAATCGTATCGATGTAACGAGAAGTGGTCCCCATTTTATGTAGACGGGCTAGTCCCATAAATGACAAGGGCCAGCCGTAGGGCAGAGTTCTTTATTTTTTTCATCCATAAGTCGAGGTATACCCTCGCACGATCAACTCTGCAACAGGTTACAACACATGTATATGTGTTACAGAGCACAACATTTAAACACAACATAATCTTTAAACATTACATAAGCATGAAATAAATACAACTAACTATTTAAGGAACATTACAGAAACATGTGGCCAGTGACAGCTATTATAGTTATTAAAATAGCATTATGAATAAACTACCAAATTATCACATAATTACCAGCTATGGGCTGAATCAAATGGCTGGTGCTTCATCAGAACGCCTTCACAAGAATATCTAAACACAATATCAAATTATAAATGCTATGCAAAACACTAGTATAAAATACATCACAAATGCAATACAAATTGTTTTGCACAAATACATTACCAAGATATTGAAAAGTATTTTATCTCAACATTCCATATACTCCCAACAATACTTTAAAATACCATAAACCAATTGAAATATTTTTGTAATGTTTATCCTCAATAAAATATATTCTATCACTTAAAACTAACCTTCATCTCTTCAAGACCACATGTGTCTCTGGTAAAGTTGCCAGCCAGAATGACAATCTTGAACATCTTGCCTTACATGAAAAGCATGTGCAGCAACTTACAACCAATGAGAGGTTTCAAGGCTTCTTCATAAACTTTAGGCCAATCAGCACAGTTAATACAACCTATGAACTGTGACCTATCCTTACATAGGTGGCAAGGCTCCAAATGAGTGGTCCTGAGGGTCACCACCTCATTATGAAATTACTAATCTTTTAAAGCTTATAATAAAACCCAAACACCAAAACAATGCCAAAATAAATACAGTATTTTTGCACCCTGTTACACACTTCCCCTGCTGGAGAAATGACGTCCTCGTCATTTAAACTGATCTATATACAACTAACTGCCTGAAATAACTGCAATAATAGCCTGCTGTACTTGAACTGGAACAGAATCAAACACACCCTCATTGGCTAAATCTCTCAGCACCATAACTTTGTCGAACCAATCTGACAAAATCACCGCTGGTAAACCATTGAGGTGGCCTCCGTTCTCTTTGTGATCGCCTTAAGGGCTGTTCCTCTGGTGTTGCTTGTTCTATGATGGACGTGTCTTGTTCTACCCGTTCAACCTCTTGACCATGACTAACTGCAGTTTCTTCATGATCCTCAATAGCACTATTGTCAGCTCTGTGGGATGCTTGACCATTGCTATCTGGTTGATCAACATTGTCAACTATGGTGATTGACAACGGTTCGTCCTCAGGAACACTTTCAAGAACACTTTCAGGAACTTCCTCTGGAAGCGGCAAGGCTAATTGTTTTTGAGTTTTCAAGAGTTTCCGTGGTTTGGGAACAGGCATTTCTTGACTGACTGGTGGCTTAGAGAGTGATCCAATGGGAACCAAATGATTTCTATGCAATGTTTTCTTCTTCCCAACTCCATCCTCCCTTTGAACTACAAAAACTGGAATGTCAGCATTCGGCTGTTCAAGCACCACATATACCTGCTCCTCCCACTTGTCCGAAATCTTGTGTTTTCCCTCAAACGCAAGTATCTTCACAAGAACACGATCACCAACACTGACCACTGCAGCTCTAGATTTCTCATCATATTTCTGCTTCTGATGAGTCTGGGCTTCCTTCATAGCAGAAGTAGCTAAATGATGTGCCTGTTCTAGACGCTGTTTGAGAGATTCTACATACTTGCTCAGTGCTTTGGGCTGCTCTCCTTGATCCAAACCGAAAGAAACATCTACTGGAAGTCTTGGATGCTGTCCAAATAACAGAAAGTGTGGAGAATATCCTGTTGACTCATGTCTCGTACAATTATATGCATGCACTAAAGAATGCACATGAGATTTCCAATCGGCTTTCTCACCTGGATCTAATGTTCCCAACATGTTCAACAAAGTTCTATTGAATCTCTCACAGAGACCATTTCCCATAGGGTGATATGCTGTTGTATGAGACTTTTCCATTCCGGTTAACTGACACAGTTCCTTGATTATTTTACTCTCAAAATTTGCTCCTTGATCACTATGTATTCTTTTAGGTATCCCATAGTGAACGATAAAATGGTTGAATAACACATCTGCAGTTGTTTTTGCGGTCATATTTCTTGTCGGGATTGCTTGAGCAAATTTGGTAAAATGATCGGTGATAACCAGTATGTGTTGGAATCCACCTTTCGCTGATTCGAGACTCAAAAAGTCCATGCACACCAATTCCATGGGTTCAAATGTCTTCACACTGACTAAAGGAGCTCTACCGGTTGGAGTTTTCCTTCTCAAACATCGGGGACATCGTTGGATCCAACATTCTACATCCTTTGAAAATCCAGGCCAATAGAACCGATCCTGAATTAAACACACTGTTCGATCTCTACCAAGATGACCCATGTTATCATGCAACTGTTCCAAAGTTTGCTCCCTATAATCGAGTGGAAGAACAAGTTGAAAAATAATCTCATCATTCCTTTTGCAACGTCTGTACAAAACTCCATCCTTTATACAAAGGTGATCAAATATCTTCAAGAAACTTCTATGTTCTGACGTGTGATTGCAATCATTCCATTTTGGTTTGATTCCCTGTCTAACAGCACTAACAATCTGTCTTAAAACTGGATCAACAGCCTGTGCTTTCCGCCAATCACGACTAGTCATATGCATTAGGCTTGTGCTAGCTGCATCAGTCCCAAACTCTGTATCCAATACATTAGCTGATAAACTCAAACTCTCAACATACGGCTGAGCCTGTGAACTCCTACAAATGGCATGTACAGATTCGGTTGGAATTTGTTCCGTTTGAGGTCCACGTTTATCCTCTAGAGACTCTGGCAACCTTGACAAAGCATCAGCATCCATATTTGATTTTCCTGACCTATATGTAATACTGAAGTCATAAGCCGCCAGTGCAGCCATCCACCTGTGACCAGTGGCATCCAGTTTAGCGCTGGTCAGAGCATAAGTGAGGGGATTGTTGTCTGTAAGTACTTCAAATTTATGTCCATACAAGTAATCATGATATTTTTCAGTGACTGCCCACTTCAAGCACAGAAACTCGAGCTTGTGCGCCGGGTATAATCGCTCTGATTTGGATAATCCTCTACTTGCATAACTAATGACTCGTTTCTCACCCTGTTGAACTTGATACAAAACTGCACCCAATCCCTTCTGACTTGCGTCTGTATGCAGTTCAAATGGCACAGAAAAATCACAAAATCCAAGTACAGGAGGTGATGTAAGTCTAATACGCAACTCACAAAATGCTTGTTCCTGGTCTGGTCCCCATTCCCACTTGACTACAACAGTGTTTTTTCTCTTCCGCTTGGGTAAAGGATTAGGCATGAGTTTAGTCAAGGGACTGGCAATCTGGGCAAAGTTGGGCACAAAACGTCTATAATATCCAGCAAATCCCAGAAAACGTCTCACCTCTTCAGGAGAATTTGGCCTTGGCCATGAGGATATCATTTCCAGCTTTTCTGGATCTGGTTCAATCCCATGTTCTGAAACTACATGTCCAACATAGCACACTTTTCTCTTAAAGAAATGACACTTTTTAGGGGCTAACTTGAGATTACAATCTCGAAGACGCTGAAAAACCTGTTTGAGCCTCTCAAGATGTTCTGAATACGTTTTGGAGTACACCACAATATCATCAATGTACACAAGACAAATTGACAAATGCAAACCATCCAGACACTCTTCCATCAACCTCTGATAGGTTGCTGGTGAATTGCATAGACCAAATGGCAGCCGGTTATACTCATAAAATCCGAGAGGGCCCACCGTAAATGCTGTACGTTCCTTGTGCTCTTCAGCAATCTCTACTTGGTAGTATCCAGATTTCATATCAAGTTTGCTGAAGAAACTATTTCCTGACAAGCAATCTAGCGTATCTTGAATACGAGGCAATGCATAAGAATCTTTCACAGAACGATTATTCAAGTCGCGGAAATCTGTACACATCCTTAATCTTCCATCTTTGCGCCTACACAAGACTATATTGGATGACCATGGACTCCTCGACTTTCTAATCACACCACAGGCTAACAACTGTTGAATATGAGACCTAACTTCCTCAAACATAGATGGTGGAATCCTCCTAGCACGTTGTTTGAAAGGTCTATCATCTGTTAACTGTATTCTGTGTTTGACAACTGAAGTGAATCCCAAGTCAAGGTCATCCTTGGAGAAGATATCAGTAAAGTTGTTAATCAGATTTGTTCCTGACCTAATCTCTTTAGGGGAAAGTTCATCTACTTCCATCTCAATACCCTCGGGCACACGTGTACTAGTAGAGTTAACTTGTTCCTGTTGCACAGTGTTGACTTGATCTGTTCGACTACTTTCTATCGTAACTGGTTGCACCTCACAAAGGATTGACTTTGGTGGAATGACAACGGTCCTGGTAGTAACATTGTTTATGCCCACTTTAACTGTACCCTTATGATCACAATCATACATGAAGATGGTTGGTTCAATGTCCAGATCCGAAGGAATAACTGATTTGCATGAAGCCTGAATCAAAGCACAAGTCTGGGGATAGCTCAAACGTTTATCTATATGTCCTTCTAACACAACACTACTGTTTGGAGGAATAACAGTGGAACGTGGAGCTGCACTCTTGATAAGTCCCAGTCTAAAGTTATGTTTGACCAATTCCTTCTCCCTGAGAACAATAGTCCTGAATGTTAAGTACCAAGGTGTATCCATCTTCGCACACTGAAGAAATCTATCACCAATTGCGCTACGACATCTCTCAAGCAAAGGCTTCATAACGTTGGTACCAAGCAAAACAGGAACTGACCGATTGTATCTACTGTTGGGCACAACTAACAACAAACACGTTACGGGCTCTTCATCACCAACACCATGCACAACTATGTCCACAGCCACATACCCTAAGTACTGCAAAGTTAAACCATCTGCACATTCAATATCCAAAAGATCCGTTAAAGGTTCCAATGCAAGATGAGAACAATGCTTGTCATAAAAGTCTTCACTCATAGTGGACACAGTAGATCCAGTATCCAACAATGTCATTGTACAAACACCATTAACTGTAGTCTTTGACTCCATAGGTTCTCCTAACAAGCCTGCTGGAACACTACTATGGGAACTTTTCCTACTGCTAGGATCTACCAGCGTCCCCGTCTTGCAGATCCCTTGTTGTTTAAACCTCGTCCTCGCATGTGATCTGTGATAACTCTACATCCTATCTGAATGTGACCATACTGTCCACAACGATGACACTTGATACCTGATGTCTGATCCTCTGACCTATCAAAATTCTGAGATAAATCCTGGTTAAAGTCACCTCTGCCTCTACCACTATATCCTCCTCTACGTGAACCATGTCTGTTCTGAGTAGAAACATACTCTCTCAGTGACTTGACCTCTGCTGCTAACTGTTGCACCATTCCCTCCAACTTGGTGGTTGTTTGAGAAGCATCAGAGCTAACAGCTGACTTAACATTAGCTTTTAACGTAGGTTCAACTTTCCTCCGTGACTCTTCAATACGGCGAACAGCAGCTCGCAAATCATCAAAAGACTTGACAGTATCAAACTTGTGACTAGATG